TTGTTTTAATAAAGGGCCGCTATCGTTGGACTCACGCAAACGGTGCCGATATTCTTAAAGCCTACAATGCTAGGATTTCGACCTGGCTTCGCGCCACTTTTAAACGTGCGCGAAAAAGTTCGAAAAAGCCTAAATGGGTTTCGGATGAAGTGTGGTCCAACCTTTGTCGCCACTGGTCTTCTGATCCGAAATTCTTGGCCAGAAGTGAATCCGGTAAGAAAAACCGGATGTCCGAGAAGGCCTTGGAGATGCAGTGGCACGGGGGTCGCAAATCTCAGAATGCCCATAAAGAAACTCTTGTAAGTGCTATTCAAAAAACCTTACACCATCACAATCCTTCATTATAAAAAATTTACTTAAGTCTTTCCATACCATTTAGGCTGGTCCTGAGAAGAAGAGGGTTGGTGTTCTCCGGTTCGTCAAGCATTGCTGGACGAAGCACGGCGAGGAATCTGAAGCCGATCTGCCACCCCGCCTCGCTGACTTCGAAGTATGTGGCATCATATTTTGTTATTTAGTAACATATCAAATCTAAGTATGTAGCATTTAAAAAATATTTTTTGAAAATGCAGACGAAGTACAACGAATCCGTTGACAGGCAGCGTGCGACACGAGGCTTGACCCAGGAAGACGACCTCGATTCCGATGCGGATGATGAGGCGGCCATTGAGGCGGCCGGGGTTTACAAGGGCCGGGTTCCGTGCTTGGGGGCCGAGGGGCAACGGATTTTGTATGATCGAAGCACCGGCGCTTCCTCTTCTCGGTCAAGGCGGGGAGAAGATCCTTGTATTGCTACACTGCAGCGTGAACTGGAGGAGCACGAACGGCGATGGGAGGAGCAGCGGAAAGCAGATGAGGCCACAAAAGCCCGGTTGGAGGAGATGGAATGGTACATGCGTGCCGGATTCCAGCCTCCGCAACAGCCTTTTCCTCCCCCGTACGTATTCCACCCTGAGCAAACTCCTCAAGTTCCGCACATGGGCGGTATGGGATTTTTCCCCAACTCCGGATATGGTGGCATGCCTATGATCTCCCCGAATTTCGGATCTATGTCCTTTGATTTTGCGAGGTCATCCGGAGGAGGTAGTGGCACACCGAGCCATGGAGCCCGAGGAGCGCCCCGAGGAGGACCCCGAGGAGCACCCCGAGGAGGAACCCGACCTGACCCCGAAGACCCCCCCGTGAACCCAGATGAGTTTCTTGTTGATGATGATGAAGAAGAAGAAGAAAATCCTAATTTTTTTCATAATGGAGTCCCACGAAGGGACATGTAATCATCATACATTTGTACTTTGTTGTTTGTCAAAACATTTAAAAGTTTGTCACAATATTTATTAAGTTTGTTGTATGTCTTTTAAATGTAATTTTAAATTTAAAAAACTAGAATAATATTTTCAATAACTCAATAGTATAAAAACATGGATAAAAATTAGAATAACATTTTTAAATTTAATTTGTAAAAATACGTATTAAAAAGTAATTTTTAAAAACAACTTTAAAAAAAAATGTAATTTTTTTTTTTAAAAAACAAAAATAGTAGTCACGGCCTAATCCGTGACTACAGTTAATTCGAAATTATTATTTGTTTTTAATAAAAAACATTATTTTTTTTAAAAAAAATAGCTTAGTCACGGTCGACAACCGTGACTAATTTCAAAAATTTAGATTACACCCGCGGGCGGTCTTTTGAAAATTTTGAAAATTTGAAAAATTAGTCACGGCCCACAGCCGTGACTAATATTTATTTTAAAAAAAAAATTATAGTCACGGTCACAAGCCGTGACTAATATTTATTTTAAAAAAAAAAATTATTGTCACGGTCACAAGCCGTGACTAACACGTCGGAGTGGGGTTTCCGGCATGAAAATAGTCACGGTCCATGACCGTGACTAATCCGTGACTAAATTTAGTCACAGTTATGTGGCGGTGACTTCATTTAGTCACGCCAATTAAGACACGGATTTAGTCACGCCAATTAAGACACGGATTTAGTCACGGCGGATGACCGTGACTAACCTTTTTAGTCACGGAATTTTTACACTGCAGTCCGTGACTAAATCCGTGACTACGCCCGTGTTTTTTTGTAGTGAGCACCCTCACCTATCACAGTGACTCTTATTGTTCAATGATAACAATTAATATCTAGCATCATTGCTAGAGACCACTATTATGCGCCAATTAGGCCTGTACAAAACCGGGCCAGCCCGCCCAGCCTGCCCGCACAAATTAGCGGGCTTGGGCATATATATTTACCCACTGGCCCGGCCCGGCCCCGGCCCACAAAAACATATGGGCGGGCTTGGGTTAGGGTGTAGGCCCGTTCGGGCCGATAAGCCCGGCCCGCTACATTCAGTATATATACATATATATTTTTTGTATATACTAATTTATGTAAAAAAAAGTACATACTAATTTATGTATTTATTTACATGTACACATGTATATTTTTATATTTACTAATTTATCTGTATACATATTTATAGTTTATTATGTTTAAATTTAATTTTTTAGTTCTATCTTAACAAATAGTCCAACCAATATAATATCTATTTTTGTATTTAAAGATAATACTTTGTGATTAAATTTTAAATTTTAGATATACTTTCTAATTATTATTTTTGTGTGAATATTTTTTGTGTATGTGATGAAAGGCCTATATACATTATAAGCGTATTAGCAATTTTGTAAATGTTGTAATATTATTTATAAAGTATTAAACAAATTAAATAATTTTGAAAAATTTAAAGTTTTCCCGGGCCCGGTGGACTACCCGGCCCGCTCTTACGGGCGGGTATGGACATGGGGTTAGACCCGTTTTTGCGGGCCGGGCCGGGCCTGCCCACACACGATGGGCAGAAAACTTATGAGAAGCCTGACCCGAGCCCGCATTTGTGCAGGTTTAGCGCCAATGCCCATAGTTCCCGAAGGTCATGTCCCTCTTTCATTTGATCATCAGACTTAGTAGTTGATTAGTTGGCCTCCGCATTTCATAGGGACTCCCTATTCTATTGAGGCTGGAGGTATATAAAAGGTACATATTTGATTGTAAGCGTAAAATATTTCGTGTAAAAATTTAGTCAAATCTATTATTTTTATTGAATTGAACTAGCGTTGGCATGCTCTGCTTCCATGTTTTTGAGAAAGCGTTTTGGTGCTCACTAGGATGATATCTAGTTTCACCGTTCTTTTCGAGTCTTCGATAAGTTACTCTTATCTTTATGTGCACCATCTTTGATGTCTATGATCATTTGCAGAAATCTCAATTATGTAGTTTTCATTTTATTATTCTTTATGTCAATCAAACTTTGCAAAGTTCTCACGGAAGAAATCAAAGGGTATACTTTTAGTGTAAACAAATTCTTTTATATGTACATGTCATTGTAGTATTTTGTTTTGGCTATGTTCCTGTGACTTTGGCTATGTTCCTGTGACTGGTGGACAGTTTTGGTTACTTGCTGATGCAATTGTTGTGTCAAAGGCTCTAAGTGCTCTTCAATTGCTCTATTAGTTACTACCTCCACCCCACTAGCATTCTAACATGAGTATGTTGTGTGGTTATTAATGAAGAAAAATGAATTTATGTATTTGATATTGAATTGATAAAATATGAACAAAGTAAGAATGATTTAATGACAACAATGTTATTTTATAATAGGAAATTATTTTGAATATGAAAATTATATCGAAATGTTTCTCATTCAAAATATTTTCATAAAAGCATAAAATTTATAAATTATATACAAATATAATAATTAAAATCATTTTCCAAAGTTTGTCGTCATTGATTAAGAAAAATGACGAACCTTTTCGGGACGAAGTCATGGGCGGATCTAAATGTTCTTCAATGGGGGCACATGCCCCCAATAAAATGTGAAATTTTAGTGTTATTAAATTGTATTTTAATATTAAAAGTGGAAGTGCCCCAATTAAAAAATAAGGATGCCCCCAACAAAACATTCACAATCCCACGTCACTAAGTTTTTTTTAAAGAATCCTATGTCACTAATTTGATCATCCAAAACCCACTAATCAATTAAAGAATTTTGATATTTTATTAGGCTATTTTTTGTTAGTCTTCCTCGCATTTTATTTTTGCATATTTTATAAAAATATGACTAAAATAAGTATCCGCGTTTTTATCTTGAGGATATGTATTCTTGATTTTTATTTTCCAACTAAGAATACTCGTAAAAATCTTCATTAGGGAAATATGTTTACAAGTACACTTATTTTGGAAATAAGATTAAAGACCGAGTACCTTTCCTCTGAAAAATCATGTTACTATGAGTATAATGTCATGGTTACTTAAGCGTAAAAAAACACATATATTACTATGAGAAAGTTATATATTCTAAATATTAAGCTCAAATGTGTAATTGCACGCACGCGTGTGCGCGTGTCTGCGCATTTATTTAAAAAACAATTACATATTTATGGTTAAAATAAATGTATTTTACAAGAGTGTGACATCTTAAATGTACATAATTAATTAATACACTTAAATACGGAATATGTAATTGTTCAAATAAATGTGTGTGTATTGAGCTTAATATTTAAAATATAAAAAGTTTTAACTATGAGATTGATTTTAAATATAATATATATTTGAAAAATATTTGTACTAAACTTTTTAAATGATACCCCAATAACTTTTTTCCTAGATGCTCCACTGGACGGAGTTAGTATTATCCCTCACATTCGGGATGAAATTATTGGCTTCATCACACCTCGGGCCGCTGGGTGAAAGATGGGGGGAGGGGTTCCTTCAAAAATGCTGTAAGTGGACCGAAGTCTACCTGGGAGGTTTAAATGCATGGATAAAATTAATGGAACAAAACTCACATGGAAAGGCCAGTGTCCTCTCGTTCCTACCATAGCTATATTATTTACATACACCTAACTCCTCAGGACAACCGTATACTATGCCCCCCACTGCCCTCTCATCACTATTCAATTCCTCCCCCATCTTATATAAATACCACATACTATCATGGTCAAATAATGCAACTTCAGTTCCCTACAATACACTAGATTCACTTACTAAAAAAAGAGCAATTAAAGCTAAGCAACACAAGAAAGGAAAAAAATGGCAAAGTGGGCATCCTCAACATCAAGGACAAAAGGCAAACAAGAGAAGAATGGGAAGAAGCTTAACATAGTGATGGAAAAGCTCCAAAGGAGCCTTCTTTTAAGGAAAAGGTCACCCCCGGAGTCGCCTCGCCTCCGTCGTCTCGACGAATCGGAGAACGCAAGAGGCGTGCCCGACGACGTTAAAGAAGGGCATTTTGCGGTAATGGCGATGGACGATGGCGGTAAGCTGAAGCGGTTCGTGGTTCCATTGAGTTGTCTAGCGCACCCTTCTTTCGTTAGGCTATTGGATCGAGCCGCGGAGGAGTTCGGGTTCGAGCGCGAAGGGGCTATCATTGTGCCTTGTAAGCCAATGGAGCTACAGCAGATTATTCAAGATCAGCAATGGGTGCAAAAACTCGATCTTCGCTTTGGTTTGGTCGTTTAGACATTTTTGATAAATGACTATCTATTGTAACTATGTATTGAGCTAGGATAGCATTTCAGAGATTCTACATTTGATCCCATCCGTTACTACCTTGCTTTTTTTTTCAAATTACGTAATGTTTAACGACGTAATTTGTTTCGGATTTAGAGCTTTTGACCATTCACTCTTCACTACAATCTACAATATGTATTTGTGTTTCCAAATAATTAAATCAATAAAAAAGCATTAATCAAATCATTTCTAGCTCTACGTTTATATTCTTTGTTTTGGTAATGCTAGAAAGTAGAAACAAACAAACAAAATATCAAACCAATTATTAACCAATTCTAGCTCTACCAAATAATTAGCAAATAATTATGAACTCTACCAAATAATTACCAAATAATTATGAACTCTTTTACATATTTGCTAGACATAAGTCTCTATCTTTTGTATAATTTAAATAAATTATAATAGCTTCTGGTTTAAAGATTTTTTTAAATATAAAACATACGTAGTTTTTTTAAGAAGCTACACAAAGTGATTAACATTAATTTATCACGTTAACAAATGGCATTTTAACAAAAACTACAATTTGTATTATTTAAAATTTGTTCAGTCACTAAAAGCCACTAGAAATTAAAAAAACTCATAAAAGTAAAAAATTTCAGGTATTTGAGGCAAACATAACGTTAATAATGAGATCTACTTATTAAGTACGTACTCCGTATTATTTACCAGTATTTTGAAATAACAGAGTCGGTAGATTTCTTTTATTTGCATATTACTACGTACAAGATTACAACTGGACAGATGTACTATAATAAGTCCAACGTACTGAAATACAGTCGACAGAGGTACCTCATCATGGTAAGCATAAATACCGTCCAACAATTATAAAACTTGTGTTTTTCCATTTATCAAGTTTATGAGTCAACTTTTTAACTAAATATGTAACTTTTAATTTTACGCGTTGAATTGTGTAATACGTATTAATAAGAAAAGGTAAGGTTGAATTTATTTTTCCGGTTATATTGGCTAAAATTGCTGTAGATGACTATTTTAGCTATTTTTTCATATAATTTTTTCATATAATTTTTCATTATTTTATTAACAAAATATATTTTAAATGTAATTTATTCATAAATCACCAGAATCAGCCAATACAGCCACACACTTTAGTCAAAACTTCATAAATTTCAGCAGAATGAGCCGATTCAACCGATTTCGGGTTACTAATCATGCTCATAATTATAAATGTGTATTTTTATGTATGTACATTATATTTATCTTACACAATCATAGGTGAAATCTGTTTACCATTTTATTATAAAAACATATCTAGAGCCCATTTAGTAATATTAAGACCGGCTGAATCGGTTGATTCTTCTGATGATATTTATGAAGTTCTAGTTGAAGTGTCTAAATTGGTTGATTCTGCTTTTTTATAAAATATATTTTATTAATAAAATAAATTAAAAATTATATGATAATAGCTAAAATGATCCTCTACAAATCAGCGTGTGAAATCAAGTTATGTGTTTGGTGGAAAAGGTGGCAAATAAGTCTGATAAGTCGAAAAACAGGGTTACCAAACGGGTTCCTGCTTTTTCATCATCTAATAAATACATAACATTTTATATTTTTACAATATACAAAATATATTCTAAAATAACAAGAATATAATGAAATGCTGACGAATATTCTGATAATTAAACGGTTCCTGTTTTTTCATCCTTTAGAAGTTGTATTAAACCGCAAAAATAACAAGTTTCGTTATAATAAACTTTCGATGTATATAATAAATGAATTACAAGGAATGGCAAGGGAAAACCCTAGCATTTCCTTTTCTGAATTTTTTATTTTAATCGGTGCTTCTTGTTCATAATATATATTTCATTCCAAAAATATAAAGAAAATAGAGAAAATATATGTTTCATTTATAGCGTTATCTAGAAATTTTATATTCGATAGTGGAGCCCCATCTTTCAGGTTTATAATCCCTGCCAACTTTGGTCAGCAGATTAAAGACTTTTAATTGGGATTGAAAGTAGCATAATCTCATACAATCTACATAACCCTGTATCTTTATGTTTTAGCATTATAATTTGATACTTCGTGTATTATATGGTGAGATCGTTATACCATGCGCATGGTATATACGTCCTATTATGACATCATTTTTTGATTAAAAATTTATAGCGAATACATCTTTTTCCCACTACAAAAAATTGCGGGATTAACAAGGATTTGGTACGAATTTATCGCTGACTTCATGTCAAATAGTTCGTGCCAAAGTGTTCTGGCACGAATTTGACATATCCCTACCAAATCCTCTATAAATTTCGGCAAATTCATGTCAAAAGTCCATGTCAATCCCGTATTTTTTATAGTGTCATCTCCGGCCATCTATTCACCTTCTTTATCAATATGTCCAACCATCTATTCCTCTTCTTAACCTAAATGTCCGGCCATCTATTCTTCTTTTGACGGATTTGTCCGGCTGTCTATTCGTCTTCTTCGCTTATCTGTCCGACCATCTTCTTCATCCACTCTTCCGTTTTTTCTTCGTTTCTTTTCTTCTCCATTAATTCAAAACAAAAATTTTATTAATATGAAATAAAATTCTTATCTGTATTTGAGGCGTACTACTTTTCTTCAAGCTATATATCTTAAATTAGATGTTTTACATTTTGACTTATCTCAAATTACATTTCCACTAACATGATTAATGTTTCAATTTTTCTCAAGATACATTTACATTAACACGTTTTACATTTTGACTTTCCTCAAGTTATATTTCAATTAACAGGGTTTATATTTTGACTTGCCCCAGGTTACATTTCCATTAACTTATTATACATTTTGATAAGACTCAAGTTACATTTCCATGAATGTGATTTACATTTTAACTTGCCTTAAGTTACATTTTGGATATACGTGATTTACATTTGAAATTGGTTGTAGTTACATTTTACATACATGCGCCTTACATTTCATATATGGGAGGTGAGGCAATAAGTATTGCAGGAAGTAACGCGAGTTACATTTAAGTGCACATGATTTGCATCACAAAAAAAATTGAAGCAAAAATTATATTTACTGTCCACACACGTTTTCTTTAATTAAAAATGAAATTGATCAAAATGATGTTATTTCAGGTGTGGACTGTGGAAGTGTGATGATCACCATGGGTGGGCTGCCCCCACGGTATAACGACAATATAATCATAACTTTAGTTCCACTTTAGCCTCTTAAGCGTGAAAATGGAAACTAATCTCTCGGTCCGGTTTCAATAAAAATTGTGATGACGTTTAATGGACCAATGTTATGGTACGTACTTGTGTGACTAGAATATATTTGTGGAGGAGAGTACTTTCCAATCATATTTCCCAAATAACAGTATTTTTGACTTGTCATCTGCCATGTCATTTGAGTAACCAGGTCCACCTATACCTTGTGATCATCTGCCACGTTAGCGTAATGCCTTAATTCAGAAATGCTGTAAGTGGACCGAAGTCTACCTGGGTGGTTTCAATGCATGGATAAAATGAATGGAACAAAACTCACATGGAATGGCCAGTGTCCTCTCGTTGCTAGCTTAGCTTTATTATTTACACACACCTAACTCGATCATCAGGACAACCGTATACTATGCCCCTACTAGTCTCTACTACCTCTCATCACTAATAATCCTTTCCCATCTTATATAAATACCACATACTATCATGGTCAAATGCAACTTCAGTTCACTACTATACGCTAGATTCACTTACTAAAAAAAGAGCAATTAAAGCTAAGCAAAACAAAAAAGGAAAAAGATGGCAAAGTGGTTATCCTCAACATCAAGGACAAAAGACAAACAAGAGAAGAATGGGAAGAAGCTTAACATAGTGATGGAAAAGCTCCAAAGGAGCCTTCTTCTAAGGAAGCGGCCACCCCCGGAGTCGCCTCGCCTCCGTCGTCTCGACGAATCGGATAACGCAAGAGGTGTACCGGACGACGTTAAAGAAGGTCATTTTGCTGTAATGGCGATGGACGATGGCGGTAAGCTGAAGCGGTTCGTGGTTCCATTGAGTTGTCTAGTGCATCCTTCGTTCGTTAGGCTATTGGATCGAGCCGCGGAGGAGTACGGGTTCGAGTGCGAAGGGGCTATCATTTTGCCCTGTAAGCCAACCGAGCTCCAGAAGATTATTGAAGATCAGCATTGGGTGGAAAAGCTCTTTGCTTATTAACTAGCTACCGTAACTACTTCAGCTAGAATAGCATTGAGTCTACGTACATTATATCGTTACCTTTTTTTTTTCAAATTACGTAATTTGTAACGTAATTTGTTTCGGATTTATAGTTTTTGACCATTCAGTGTTCATTTTTTTTGCCAAATAAATCAATAAAGTTGTTATTAATCAAATGCTAGCTCTTTATTGTCTTTGAATTTATGTTTTCTCAAGGGTTAATAATGGATCGAGTAGATAGCTAGCTAGATTCCTTTTATTGTATTGTACAACTCGTCACGTTCAAAAGTCGTTTTAGTACAATAATTACTACTCCGTATAGTAATATACAAAGTCGAACTGTACAACGGTACGGTCTACAGGCCAGGAGTAGTACCTAATAATTATATGTGTAGATTTAATTGGTTTTACTCATTTGATGTTTAATTAAATCAGTGAGTGTCTGAGTTGAATGTGTTTTTTTTTTACCAGAAAAAACGACTATATTATTAATAAATCATTAGGCAAAGGGCTTACAATATAGTCTAGAACAATATCGTAACTAATACTATGATCTGAGATAGAGACATGCGTTCTCGCCAAAGCGTGAGCCGCACGATTCGCAAATCGTCTACAAAAAGAGATATTAAAACATCTCTGACTATTAATTAAAAACTGTATATCATCAAGGAGTAAATCCATATATGCTAAACCTCCCTCTTGCCTGACTCCCCGAACCACCGTTTGAGCATCTATTTCAACATCCACAGCTTCCCAACCCTCCTCAATTGCCCCTTTAAGTGCCTCTCTCACCCCAAAGGCTTCGGTTTCCTCCGGTGACCATTCGGCCTTGCACGAACCTCCCTCTGCCTTAATAAACTCGCCCCGATCATTCCTTGCCACCCAACCCCATGCACGAATGCCTCGAGTCGAATCCACTGCTGCGTCACTATTTATTTTAATCTTCCCCGCCTGCGGCCGTACCCAGCCAACAGGCCTCGACTCCTGTCTGCTGCAACTCCTTCCTCGTCCCATTTAATTTGCTGCGC